TCCTATCACTTAATGCATTGTACCTCATGACTGATTTGGATATGTTCTTTTTGACGATGAATGCAACACCATTCCTTTTCAATTTGTCATTCCCTGCACAGTAAACCATGTGGTTATCAGATTCAAAATGGCCAATACCAGTCCATTTCAGCTCACTAATGCCCAAGATGTCGATGTTGATGCATTCCATTTCATTTTTGATAACTTCCAATTTTCCCAGATTCATACTTCGTACATTCCATGTTCCAATTTTCAATGGATGTTTATAGCTGTTTCTCTTCATTTTAAGTTGTTGCCCATCAGCAAATGCAGGTTCTATGCGCTTTTCTCCCCCGAGCTTAACTCTATTCATGTCATTATGGTCAACTCTACTTTGAGGAGGCATTTATTCCCCCAGTAGCATTCTGAGTGCCTTCCCACCTTCCAGTCCTGTATCTGACAATATTTTTGTGCTATTCATAGATAGAGTTTTCAGTGACTAGCGATTCGGAAGTAGTTTGTCATTCTTTCTTCCTAGTCTGTCTTTGTTTTTTAGCTCATCTGAAACTTGTCCACCATGGGTGACCCTGCTGGTTATTTAAAACACCGGTGACATAGCCCTCAGAATCACAGCAACTCAAACCACCACAGCACGACAGACGAGTGGTGGCCGTTTGGTTTTATGTCTATATTGCCTCTTTAAATTTTGATGTCAATCTTGATACAATCCAGATATAATCAAGATACAATCAAGATGTTCTCTCCTAATCCTATCAATCGTGGTACAGTCAAGATAAGCTTTCCCAAGATGGCGGCTCCTGGAATAGCTGAGTGTCTTGATCTAGAAAATAATGGATTTCTGGATTCTCCTGAAAATTCCCCAGCTATAAACCCTCCGAACCTCCAAACATACCTTTATATTTGTTACAGAGTTCCAACACCATCTCATGAGTCCTCTTGGCCCGGTATTCTGTGTTGTTGTTGACCGCGCTCCTCAGTACACATCTACCTGATCTGCCATCTTGAAGCTGGATGACCTGGTAGTGTAGTGGTTAAAAATCTGGCTGCAAACCCTGCGGTCAGCAGCTCAAATCCACCAGGCCCTCTGCGTGAGAGAAATGAGGCTTTCCGTTAAACAGCCTTGTGGCCCAGTATTCCGTGTTGTTGTTGTTGGAGCTCCTCACTACCCGTCTCGCTGAGCTGCTGCTCGAAGTTCTTGCTGCTGCTCGAAGTTCTCGCTGCTGCTTAGATGGCCGCTTATGAGCAGTTCAGATCCCAGACACTACTCACCAAAGTAGGATGGAGAACATTGTCTTTGTGGATTATGTTTTACCAATTGACTCTGGTGTCCCCTGAGACTGTGGTCCTGAGAAAGGCAGAATCTTGTGTATTAAATCTACACACACACTTTATAATATATACTTATTCACTCATAGTTGTACAATATGTATATATAGATTGTAGAAAGTAAGTGTGTGATTTGTTTGTGTCCTGTCCCCTTACCACCAGGCAGTTTGGTTTGTACCTTATAATTAGGTGTCAGTGTTAAAGATACAAAAGGTCTGCTTTTGTGCTTCCGCAACCTCAGCTTGGTCCAAGGTGAGTGTGGCACCAGAGGATTCAGTGACAAAGTATCATACCAAGGGAACTGTGAGCTTTTCTTTGGATTGGACCAAGATACCCTGTTCCTGTTCCTCATTTCTTGTGGTTTCGTCCCCAGGTCAATAATGCGAGGCTGTGACAACATGTGCAGCTACTGCATCGTCCCTTTCACACGTGGTCGGGAGAGGAGCCGGCCTGTTGCCTCAATTCTCGAAGAAGTGAAGAAACTTTCTGAGCAGGTGAAAAGTTCTCCTGGCTTTCTTCTATGAATGTGTTTGTGGAGGACCAACTTTCAGCTTTTACAACCTATGCTATTTCTCTAAACTGCACAAGTTTAGGGCAACTCCTGGTTGGTTTGCTGCCCACAAATTTCAGCATACCCACTGTGGAAATTGCTTTGGAGGCAGCACAGTGGAATGAAAAAAGTACAGGCTTAGAGTCACATGACGGATGAGAATTCTGACTCCACCAGCCTCTGACTTGGTGCCACCAGCCTCTGACTTGGTGCTTTTGCAAAGCATACTTCCCATCTGTGAAAAGATGGTAAGACACTACCTTCCCTTAGTGTTATTGCAAGGACTAAAGAAAATGTTTTAAACTTTTTATTAGTTTCCAGGTCATGATTTACTAGTCTGGATGCAGTAGCAAATGAATCCAAGGTCAGCAGTTAAAATGGCAAATTGCCGATGACTTGTAGGATCATCTGGCAACATGGCAGGCCACTGGCTCAATTTCAAAGAGCTGGAGTTCAGATGGTGAGTCGGATGCAGGGTTCAGACCCAACAAAAAACAAGCCAGCTTTTCCACTTCATCCGTATATATTGAGAATAGGCCACACCCTTGAGGAAACTTGCTTTCAATTGATGGGCTGTTCCTAGCAGCCATGGGGGATGACCACATTTTAACTGTCAACCCACTGAGAATCCTGGCCCACCCAAGTTGACACAAAACCTTAAAATATCACCCCAGGATTCATCCCACCTACATGACTCCAGAAAGCCTGGAGAATTTGAAATTCTGTTCTGCATTTCCCCCAGAGAGTATACAGTTAATTAGGAGGCAAAGCAGAAGCACTAAACACATTGTTAGGCCAGTTAACTGAGGTGTCCCATGAAATCATGACCCCGAATCTCCAAACCAAGGAACCAGATCCCATGAGATGAGGTGGTATTTGGTTGTATATAAGCACCTGAGTAGCTACTCTGTTTTTGTCTTTGCTGTAAATATATTTAGCACGTAACTTTGCCAATTCAACTTTTTATAAATCATTTTATCACTGTTATTCACTGTTGAGGAACGGAGACTAGATAAGGAGAGTGAGTTGGATTTCATGTCTCCTCACAGTAATTCCAGCCACAGCCTCACCCTTTCAGTCCTGCAGAAGAGGACACTAGGTGGGGCTAGGGAGCTTTTCTTCCACTCCGGCCTCCCTTTTCCATCCTTGCTGGGCTCAGGAACCCTGGCAGAGGGCAAGACTAGCCTTTGCTCTAGTTTCAGCCATCATCTTGCCTTTATACTCGCCTCTTTGTCTTTGCCCCTTCTCAGATTTTCTGTTCTCTCATTTGGTCTCTGAATGTTCACAGCTACTTTCTATAGTCCCTCTCCTCTCCATGCCTTCCCCATAGAGCTATTCTGTTTAAATAGATTGAGATAGTGACAGGCACTTCTTCCTTATATGCAAATAGATCATTTGCATATAAGGCTCATTAACTTTTGCTGCTGTTGTTATTGAAGTGCCCTTGAGTTGGTTCTGACTTATAGGACCCTGTATTGGGTTTCTGAGGAGCAGCTAGTGAGTTTGAACCACCAACCTTCTGGTTCAAACTGGCCTTGTTTTTGAAAGCTTACCCTAGAGCACCACACCAGGACATTAAAGTAAAAATTAAGATTCTGCATTGTGTTTTAAAATATCTGTTAGTCATTTAGGGTGGTGTGCTTCTAGAGCGACTTTTTTTAATTAAATAAATTTTCTTTTTTAAGGTTTTTCTTATGGATCGAGTGAAAGTTTACAGGGCAGATCATCAGTTTTACATTCAACAAATCATACACCTTATTTCATTACAGTGATTATAATCCCCTCCATGTACTATCAGTTAATAGTATTTCTCTCTATCC